TCAAGAAGGCCGTATACTCTGAACTGCTGTTGGGTTCATAAGCACACACAACAGTCAGAGTTTTCCCCCCCATAACCCGCAGGCGTAGGGAGGGGACCCTCTCGTCCACTGGGGTAGACTCCAACAACGAAGCACCCAACCGGGGACTTGTGAGTATCCCCACACCCGCCCGGCGCCTCACACCTTGAGCAACTCCGGAGAAGAATAGAGTCCAACCCCTATCCAGAAGTAAGGTTCCAGAGCCGACGCTGTGCGTAGAGGTGAGCCCAACCAGATCCAACTGGTAACGCTCCACCTCCCGCACAAGCTCCGACTCCTTCCCCCCCAGAGAGGTGATGTTCCACGTCCCCAAAGCCAGCTTCTGTCGCCCGGGTCTGGTCCGTCGAGACCCTCTGCCTTCACTGCCACCCTTCTGGCAGCACACCCGACCCCATCGCTGTTTCCCGTAGGTGTTGGGCCCGCGGTACAGAGAAGCGGAGGTGTTGCCCACGTTGCCTTTTTGGGCTGTGCCCGGCCGGGCTCCGTGGCAAGCCCGGCCACCAGACGCTCGCCGACAAGTCTTCCTTCCGGGCCTGGCTCCAGAAGGGGACCCCGGGCTTCCTCCGGGCCGGGTATCCTCACTTCGTGTGTCGTCTTTCATGAGGTCTTGTGAACCAATCTTAGTCTGGCCCCCTGCCTGAGACCAATTTGCCATGGGAGACCCTACCAGGAACACAAGGTTCCAGACAACACAGCCCCCAGGTTCATCAGGGCACACAAACCTCTCTACCACGGTAAGGTGCTGGTTCTTCAGAGAGGACAAATATAAATTATTTTATAATGTCTTTTAACCTACTTTGATATCTCCAAAAAGGTTTGAGAAGTTGCTCCTGTGTACCTGCCCTATAATTACTGCTGCCATGTCTGGGGAAGTTGAACTAGTTTACTCTGTCAACTGACCCAATATAGTCAGAGTAAAGTATTGTATTAGTCACATGTGTTTATCATGTAGTTGATATTGCAATGTCGATTTTAAAAAATAAAAGCGAATGTAATCTTGTGAAGTAAGCACTGTGCCTGACAATTTAAGTTGCACAGAAGAGCAGATTTAGCAGTCTTGGATTAGTGTTCTGTAGGCTGGTGGACCAGTACGCTGATAAACACAGTATGTGAATGAAAGCAGAACCCCAAGAATCACTTGTGTAATAAACAAAAGAATGCTCTGCTTTTCCTCCACAGTGAGAGTAGCATGTTTGTCTCCAAGAGACGTTTCATTTTGAAAACGTGCGGAACCACCCTCTTACTGCAAGCACTGGTGCCTCTGCTGGAACTCGCCAGGGAGTACTGCGGGTTTGATGCCATCGAGGTAGGACGCTCAGCTTTCTCAGACACAAGAAAGGAAATGTAACTCCTGAAGCTCTTACCTAATGCCTGTAGCCTTTTTGTATTTTCATATTGTTCTATACTTTTTGCAGAATTTCTTCTACTCCCGTAAGAACTTTATGAAGCCAACCCATCAAGAGTTCCCTCATCGAAACTTCCAGGAGGAAGTGGACTTTCTTAGCCAGATTTTCCCAAGTACGTAACATTTAAGGACCTTAGCACTGGCCTCTTTTTTTGTTGTGTCCCATTTTCCCCTTTTAAATATCCTCTGAAAAAATGTAGCTTGATGAAACCAAAATGATACAATACCTTAATCTGTGTAAAGGACATTTGAAGAAGTTGCCTTGTGCTCTCTGCCTCTTCCAGATGGTGCAGCCTACTGTATGGGACGTTTGAACTCTGACTGCTGGTGAGCATTTCTGCTTAGAACTCAATCTATTGTCCATTGTTGCACATCGGTGCATATTTTGGTTGAGATTGGTACTGAATGTGCTCTCCACTGACTCTATCCCTGAAAGATCTTATAGGAACTACTAGAGATTAAAATAGTGTTTCAGCCACAGCAAGATATTACTTCATGACAATTGGATGTTAGCACAGATGATGATGGCATCTCGTAGAATGATAACATAAAAGGAAAAATAAGTATAAAATGGCTGCTTCGTTGACACATGTAAAGAGCTCTGCCTGTCCGTTACACAGGTACCTGTTTACCCTGGACTTACCAGAGTACTGGGAGAACAAGCTTGCGGATCAGACGCTGGAAGTTCTGATGAGTGACCTCGATCCAGCCATTATGGACCAGTTCTATATGAAAGATGGTGTTTCTGCAAGTGATGTCACTCGTGTAAGTACCCTCTTGATATCCCACGTGTTAATTTGAGCCGCCAGTGTTTGGGTGGTTCAGAGCATATGAGCTGAGCTGGCGTCAGTGATGCTTTATCTGATGTTGACATAGTTCTGTGTTTTGTTGCAGATGAGTGGAATTCGTGACCTGATACCAGGTTCTGTGATTGACGCCACAATGTTCAACCCTTGTGGATACTCAATGAATGGAATGAAGACTGATGTGAGTCTCTCTTTCTGATTGGCCTACTCTGTGGTGCTCAACATGTGAGTAATATGGCTCTACTTCTTGTCCTCTCTAGGGAGCATACTGGACCATCCACATCACCCCGGAGCCAGAGTTCTCCTACGTCAGCTTCGAAACCAATCTCTCCCAGACATCGTACGATGATCTAATCAGTAAGGTGGTGGATGTTTTCAAGCCAGGGAAATTCGTGACCACGCTTTTTGTCAATCAGGTAGGTATAAATAAGGAGCGCACTTCATTCAGAGGGATTTGAAATGGATTTGTCACTGAGTTTGTTTCTCCTGTTTTCCCCGCAGAGCTCCAAATGTCGCAGTGTCTTTTCTCCGGCCCAGAAGGTGGAGGGCTACAAGCGCCTCGACCGCCAGCTGGCTCAATTCAACGATTACAATTTTGTTTTCACCAGCTACGCCAAGAGCCGCGGGCAGAGCCAGCAGAGCTGAGGGTTGAGGATGAAGAAGCGTAAAAAAAAAGGCGGTTGCGTGGGGCGCCCCCCCTGCGGCTGTCTTCATCCCCCAGTAGAGAGCTTGTCCTCCTCCCGCTTCCTCTCCCCCCCCTTCTGCTGCTGTCGTGGTTCAGGATCTCTGGGTGCTGCCGCGGTGGCAGGCCCTAGTTTAACCTCCAATTTGAGTTGTTTGCATTGTTGTACCTGTGACTTAGATCTCTTGCATGAAAGCTCTTTTCTCTGTTTCGATATTCTAGCTCACTCTTGCTGTGATCTTGAAGTGCATGTAGAGGAATTAAACACGCTCTGTTTGGGGCCGTCCACCTGTGCCCTGTCCAACAGACCCTTCCTGAAGGTCTCCCCCCTCATACCCCACAGACAAGGCTTCCGCCCGCACTAGGCCGGAGCCCTGACATGCTCAGACCTGTCTGCCTCTAAGCACCCCCCGCCTGTCCCTCCAACTCGACCATAGCTCTCCACTTCACCTATAGGTATTTTTTTTAACTTTGAGTGCACTTTAAAAAGCTGTTTGCTTGTGGTACGAAAAAGAAGGTCAACCTTTAGTCTGAATGTATAAGTCATGGTGAGCTTTTGGCCGTTTAATGGTTGTCTGATAGTCGGGACATATAAGAAGTCTTTCAAAACAAATGCCATATTTGCTGTTTTAATGTTGCAATATACGTCCAAGGGTTTGCGATTGGTCAATGTACTTCACCGAAGCTAAAGACTTACTGCTTTGCTGGGATTTGAAGCATTCAGTAAATTGTGCTTCCCCCACCCTGACAATCATGTAGTCAGTTTCCCAAAGAACACACTTTGTTTCATCCAGGCTTCTTTATTTACAGAATACTGTATCTAGAGGTAGCCTTTGGGTCTTAAACCTCCCCCCCC